GTTGCTAGGGTAATGGAGCTAAAGTATGTAGAGTGAAGTCACTGGGTACAGACTGACCTTGAACCCTGTTGCACATACACACTAACTTATAACATTGTTGCCCACTTCTGTTGTTGATACCAATGCTTGGAAGAAAAGTGTGTAGAGTGTGGTCATCTCACCACAGCACAGAGATTTCATCAGTGACCATGGCTTGTGCAGCAGTTTTTGGCCAAAAAAAAAAAACATATTCCCCAGGTCTCATCTCTTGCAACTTTTTCCTCTTCAAAGATCAAATCCCACTCTTTCAATCAATGGAAATGATGATAGATAAAGTGTGTGGCTTCAGAAGGGGACTACTTCAAAGGAGATTAAATGTTGAATTGATATGTGTTATAGTTTTCTTTTTGTAGCACCAGTCCTGATATCTTTTTATCAGACCTCTCTCTCTCTCACACACACATAAATATATATATAAGACAAAATGGGAAAGTTTATTTATGACACATTTCATCTGTTAGTACTTCATCAGATTGGGTTTGTTGACATTGTTGTGACTACACATGGACAGAAATTTACTGTGGCTTAATCATTAATTCAGCCACAGTAAATTTACATCCAGGTTCTTACAATATATAACCATTCTTGGCAGATTTTCTATTATCACAATGTGGGATATTTAAAAACAAAGATGATGAAAAGAAAAAGAATTTCAATGAATTTGGCTAGATTGCGAAAATTATTTTAAAAAATTTTGAAACTACCAGCATCTCTCATTCATGTATATGTGTAGTCACAACAATGTCAATAAACCCCATTTGATGAAGTCCTAATGGATGAAATGCATCACAAATAAATTTTTCCATTTTGTCTCACAATTTACTCAATACTGTTCATGATATATAAAAATATATCTTGTTATCTCATGTGTATATATATATATATATACACATACATACATACATACATTTACCCTCTCATGAATAATAATAATAATAATATGATTATATTTTTATAATTTTTTCATACACCTTATAGTGCTGTAGAAACATTGCTATTTTGTAAATTTTATTTTTTAGGCTTATTTTTTTTTTAATTTCTAAATTTTTTTTCTCTGATAACAACTAGCATATTTTTTAAACAATTGTTTTTTTTTGTTTTTAAAAAAAAAAAATTAACTTGACTACCATAATCTTTTTGTGACAAAAACTATTCCAGTCATATTTGATTTCTTTTTTGATTAAATGGACAGTTCCAATTTTACAATTCACAATTAATTCAGTTGCCAGAGCCTGAACTTTTTTAAAAAAGTCATTATTTATCTGCATATGTATCAAAGTCAATGTTCCAATGTATTCTATTTCAAAAAATAAAGATACCTTGTAGCAAAAGATCTTTTGAATTTGAATTGTGTGGAAAAGGAATTATTGCGTGACATCTTCAATCAAAATTAAGTTGATACATTTTGCACTTCATTGAAAAACAGGTTGAAATTTTTTAACTGCGCTCAAGGAACCTGTTTTATTATCTTGTTAGACTTTTCTGGAATGAAACGAAAACAAAACCAAAAAACACTGACTACTTTTTCATTTGATTTCTTTCTATGAAACAAAAATAAAGCTGTTTATTAAATTAATCCCATTTGGTTGTTGGCTCAATTTAATATTGATTATGGATTGATTTAGCAGAAGTTTTCATATATAATGACATTAGTAATAGATGAGTCATCAGCACTTTGGCTTTTTTTGTTTTCAATTTAAACAGATGACCTTTTGATATTTGATGTCAGTTCAGCTTAGAGAAAAATCATTGTGAATCAATTTCAGAAAATAGCGTGAAATCTTGATTTATAAATACTTACATTCAATTTCTTAAAAAATAATTTCTTATTCAATTAAGATTTGTAAATTAAGAAAAGAATCAATTTCTAATTCAGAAATTTTTGCTAAGTCTGTGGCCAGGAAAATTGGTTCACTATTTTGTGCTAGACAATTTTCTAAGCCAGAATCTATCTTACATATTTATAAGTTTACAATTTGTCCTTGCTTTGAATATTGCTACCACATCTGGTCTGTTGCTCCTGCTATATATTTAGAGAATCATAGGAGAATCTGCAATGTTATTGGTTGTGACCTGACATCTCAGCTTTAATCACTTTCCCACCACTATAGCATAGCTTCCATGTGACTTTTCTATAAATACTTTCATAGTAATTGTTGTGATGAGCTTTACTCTTTGATACTTAGACTTTATGAATTTAAGTGCAGTACTAGATTGTCAGAAAGGTCTCATCAATTCACAAATGAAATGGCTAGATGTAATCATAGATTCTATGCTAACAGTTTCTTTTCTTGCGTTCCTCATTTGTAGAACTCTCTTCTGGCTTCTTGCTTCCTAGTCAACATTAATCTTTAAAAAAAAAAATCAAATGCATTAACAATCATTATCTTCTGTCTTCTTAATTCTTAATCTCCTCTTTTTTTAATAATATATTTTTCTCATATTCTCTAACACTCAGTAATCTCTGTGTCTTAGTGGCTTTATTGCCTTGCTTGTGGCAAAATTACAAAAGAAAATAAATGCTCATTATTAACTGAAAATTCTGGTCTCTGGACCTTTGCAAAATAATGTCAATTTTATATTATTGTTTTTTACATTAAATCAACTAAATAATTTATTTCATTATGTGAAAAATAACTTTAAGCCAGTGTATTGGAAATGATAAAAGAATGCAATAAAATAATTAGTCTTTTATCTTTATTTTAGTAAATGTCTTTTACTGAATGCAAGGGATAAATTTTCTATAATTTTGAGAAGCGTCAGAAACCTATGTAACATTCTTCAAATATATAACCAAACAAGAGATGGAAAATCACCAGCAGCTTGTGTTACTTCTTGAGAGAGGTTAGCCTGAAAAAAATGCACAATGACTAAAATTCTTAGATCACATAGGGCCTACTTTTTTCAGGTAGAAAATCTGGTTCGGCCAACCATATCTTGAAGGAGAATATTACACATTATCATTTCTGGAATTAGGTCTAGTTAATTGGGGTCAAATAAAATAGATGACCAAGTGTGCAAGCTAGATAGCACAAATTTCAACACAATGTACTTTTCTTTACTAAGCAAATTTGGTGTTAAGGTACCCTCCACTTGGAATCATTTGGAATCACCTAGGTACATAGATGTACTTAATACTGAGGGTGAAAATGAACTTGTCCGATGGGTACATAAATGTACAGTTTCTGTTACCAGCCTGGCTATTTCCTTTGTCCTCCCAGATTATACCTGACAAGTTAAATGGATTGACCAAAATGTTAGATTAATTATACAAAGAGATTTGATTGTCCAAACAATGTTGGACAAGACATAAATATTTTTGTCACGTGCAATGATTAAGCAGACTTTGGCATTGCCCAGAGTAACTAACTGATATTTGAAATGTCTCCAGTATACTAAGTGAGTACATATCTGAATTTTACTGGAGCCAAAGACCAATAAGCTTGTGCTTTGCTGATTTCATTACTCATAAGTGATATTTTTCAGTTTCTAAAATTAGAGGGAAAATTGGAAGTGTGCCCCCGCCCTCTTTTTCAAATAGAGTTGGTTGATGAGAGAAAGGCTACTTTGTGTCCGAAAACAGATAACTGGGGAAAGGTACAAAACACCTTTTAAGTTAAAAGAAAAGCTAGAGTGATGTAGAGAGGGAATCACCCCAAAATTGTGTAGGGTACAAAGAAAACTTTTGTTTTTAATTTTTCCTTATTGTTTACCAAATACAATACTGAAGAGCTATTCAAGTTACTGCATGGGGTTATTTTATAAATGTAAGAATTATAGATTATGAGGATAAGTAGATTGATAATGGTTTACCCTGGACTGAAAGAAGTTAAGTGGTTGATGAAGCATCCTCTCAGTAGTCTGTTCCACAAAGTAGCAGCTTTTGGGAAGAAGTTGTCTAAATGAAACTTCCTCTTTACCAATGGAAGATGGAGACAATAAGTATGGTCCAGCCTCCACACCATGTGTGTTCAGCATAAAATGGTCTGAACAGGTGGAACTAGAGAAAGTAGCTCATTAGAACATTTTCCATGAAAATAGCAATAGATTAGTGATAGGCTTGCAACATTGCATCTGTGAGTAAAGGGGATGTAGGATGGAAAACAATTGCCTACAGAGATACATAAATGCTCCTGAACTCTTTTGAAGCTAGATAGAGAAGACTGTGAAGCTATAGACCAGATAGAGCAGCAATAATCCATTTTGGGTTTGATCTGACTCTTGCAAAGATTGGGAATGGAAGGTAAAGTTAGGTACTTTCTGGAGAGACTCATGAGTCAATTTTAAGGCATTAACTGAAAAAGTCTGGCAAAATCAAAAATATAAAAAAAGAATTGAAATGTTAATGACTCTTTTTAAAAGTTACAGACAATACAGTTTCTGTTATTTATCTGATTCCTTCGCCAAACATTTGGACAGACACTTTGGAACACATGAGTAAATTAGGGGAAAAACAACCATTGTTCTTAAGTCACATAAAATTTGCATTTTTTTACTTTTGCACTTTGAAATTCTTAAAATTGACTCATGAAGTCGGGAATCAATTCTATAATACAATTAATATATAAACTGATCACTCATTTTTTTTGCCTTGATAATTTCTATACATTTATATACCAGAGATTGTAAATTAGTTGAAAAGACATGCCTGTGTAGATAATCATTATTTCAATGATTGATTGATTGGTCTTTGACAACTTATCAACCCTTCACTGGTTATTTTGAGCCAGAAAATATTTTTAGATTGAGAGAAATTTTTTTTTTGGCAGGGGAGATAATAATGATTTAATGATACAAGTCTTACTAATTAACCCATAGGTTGGGGCGATAAGAGGTAGATTCATACCTTTGCCAAGGTTACGTGTGCATATGGGAATATAATGAACTCAACTAAAATTGAAACCCTGCTCTCCCATTAACAATTCCAAGCCATTATCCATTGCACCATCTGCACATCAAAGCTTACATCACCTAGTATTCCTAAGTGGTTACCCATCATGGTACTGACCAGGCTTAATATTGTTTAACTTCAGTGATCATACAGGAACCAGTGTTTCAATGTCATGTGGCCATAAGTCTTGTAGAAATTACCAGCTGTTTGTTGTTTTCATGAATGTTGGTGAGTGTTTATATCCATCACATTATTGTCCTATCAGTCTCATTACTGTCATTAAAAAACTGTATCTTATCAAGAAGTGGGTAATTGATCACATCTTAAGAAATAATCTTCTGAGTGACAGTATGGATTTCACTCCTCTTGCTCAAATACAAATGTTTTGACTGTCATCATCCACAGAATCTGTCAAGTGGTTGATGGTAGTTTTGTTACCATAGCGATTACCTTGGAGATCTCAAAAGTTTTTTCAAGATGTAGCACAAAGAGTTGTTGCATAACTATGGCATCTCTGGAAGGGTTTGTACATTTGTTGTCCTTTCTCTCAGGTAAGTGAATAGACAGTTGTGTGAGGCTTATGAGATCAATGCAGATGTCCCCCAAGGCTGTCTTCTTCATCCTATCTTCTTTCTGTTCTATATTAACAATCTGCATAGGAACACTCTCAGATCCTCACTAGTAAGCATCTATGCAAATAATACAACTGTTTATGGATGCACTTATAAATACAAAGATGACCTGAGCCTTGCAGCCAATCTCTCATCTGACCTTCCCCTTAATGTGGCTCAATGGCATAAAATCTAAGCTAGTATCATTTCATCACCAATATTAAATATAATGTAGTTGAAATAAAATTCATAAATTAATTTTTTTGATGGTTAGGTAAGGAATGTTAAATAATAGTTTCAAACTATTATTTTTTAGTGGCAGTGTATTTTGTCTCAGATCTTCTGAGGTTGATCTTTAAGGTCAAATGGTAGATGAAATAGGGAAGTTGATTTTGATTGACTGAGCTGAATGTGGGAATGAATTAAGGATTAAGGTTTTTTGGAGGGTTTTGGATGTCAAGCTAACTAAACGTGTTATATTGCATTTATGCAAACCCCCTCCCCTAAGTGGGGAAGAGTCTTTTGAGAGTTGGTTGTTATACGTCAAAGGAAATGGACATATGAGATTTTGTGTTTGAAAGGTGGGGTCGTAACCCCCACTTGATAAGATGTATCTGTCGATGTAGTTAATAAAATAATAGTTAAGTTAAAAGCTCTCTTTGTTGATGCTTTTCGTCTCTGAACACAAAAAACATTTCAAGACATCAACCAAGAGAAAAGGAGGATTGAACTAAAATGACCAACATTCACCGGCCGGACAAGATGAGATCACTTCCCCACTCTCCCATGAAGGGTATACAACACCAATATTCAAACTTTTCTCTGGCCTTGATGAATAGTTGCACTCTCAATGAGGCTCTATGTTTAGAAAGTCTTTGTGCCTCAAGTTTATTCCTGACCTCAAGTGCTGCTCATATATATACAATCCATTGCTAAAGAAACTTGAAAAATCATGGTCTTGCTACATCACTCCATGAAATATCTGACATGTATTTTTACAAGAGTCAAACCAGGCCAAAAATGGGATACTGCTGCCATACTTAGGTTGAACTGCCCCAATCCTCAATTTCCAACCTTGATAGAGTTCAAAATTGTTTATACATTCTTGTGGGGAATGATTTATTTTCCAGTTTGCAGCCTCTTTTCTATAGAGGTTCTATCACTATTTCCAATGCAAATGTTCAAGAAAGCTTCACTTTTGAATACCACCAGTTCAAACCTTTTCTGCTAGAGCTTTTTCTCAAGAACTGCCTCTTTGTGGAACAGATTCCCATATTAGTGCTACCCAGAATACTTTAATTTTGATTTTTTCAAGCCAAGGGTCACTCATTGCTTATTATCCTAATAATCCTCATACTTTGTACCACCTTCTCTTTTATTCATCTCACACACTCTTGCTCATTATTACCATTTTGACTGTAAATCTCTACCTTGGCTTGCTCTCAATCCTTGTACTGAGTGATATTTAGTTAAAAAAAAACCAAAAATACTGTATAACACATTTCGGTGTTGAAAATCTCAAAATTTAATAACTGGATGAATTCTTGAAATGGACTTTACTGCTTTTAAATATTGTTCAAGACTGTGAGACATTTCCTCAGTTATAGAATTGCTCTGAGTTTCACCAGTTCCTGAAATTCCTTTTACTTATTGGGACATTTTGACAATGTTGCTTCATCACTTCAAATCCAGACCCCACTTCAGTATAGCTGTTCAAATATTTGCTTACTGGTTGGTGAACACAATCCCTAATGAAAATGTCCAACTTTTGCTGATCTTCCTTTTTTCTTCCTTAACCAGCCTTGGGGATTTCAATGCACCAAATCTCAAGATGTCATCCAGCTTTATAAAAGTTAAGGAAAAGGAATCTTTATATGAAACTATTGATTTTATCTCCACAATCAATCTCTCTCTAGATTTAGCATTGTTATATTATGAAGAGATGCTACACTAATGGATGACAAGGCTGTTGACAATCATCTTTGGCTCAAGGAAATACTTAACATTGTTGTCAGAGATGTCACCAACAGTACTGTAATGTTGACAGTTGAACAGAGAGTGAAGCAGAATCGAGTAGATAATGACAATCACCATTTCATACCATCACTTTCTATTTATCAGGTTTCAGATAAGAATAAACATAAACATTTGATAACAAAGACTTGGTTGCTTGAACCTTCTGTTGCAGTCAAGAAATTGTCTTGTCACAAATTGTAAATAAAAGTAACTTTTCTAGCTAATTTATATGTATTAATAATTTATTCACAACATACTGTAGGCACATCAATAAATCTGTAGATTCATGGTGAAAAAAGTATTTATTTTGAAAATATTTTTTGATATAATCTTCTTCTTGACTAGTTTACTTAATCCTATGTCTTACTATAATTCATATAGATCAAGCATAATGCAGTAAAAATCTCAGATCAAAGTTTAGCTAATAATTAGATCTGGATACAGACTTATTGGTCCTTCCTCATATTTCTTTTCATATTCTAAATTTAAATTTGAGTACAGTAATTTAGACTAGAAACAGCGGTATCTATTGTGAAATGTCAATGCTTAATATGGTAATTATTAGCCAATCAGCAATAATAGACCATACTAAACTTTCAAGATGTTTGCGGTAGTCGTTCCATCTTTTAATCGATTGATCATTTAAAGTGTAAGCCGACATAACAGCTTATAAAATCAGTTAGTTTGCATCGATAAATACCAACTCACATGCAAGTCAAATCTGAAACTGCTTTCTCAAAAATACATAATCAATTATAAACAATTTGCAAGGGACTCAGTTATATAACATTACTAGCAGGCTTCACTTGCTCATTATCACTTTGCAAAGTAATATATATATTCACTACTTGAAATCTTTGAAACAAAAATTTTAAAAGAACATTTCATTCATAAATTGGCTTGTTATAGTTAAGGAAAGTTTTACAAATAGATACCAACTTCTTGAAGGCAAAGTAAATTGCAAATTTCAAACACTTTTCTGCAATATATAAGATGATATTCCTAAACAGAACTATTTTTGATATGAAAATCAAAACAATCCTTGAATAAAAGAACAGTAATGAAGGACAGTTAATTAATGAAATAAACTTTCTAAAAATCAATAAGGAAATTAGTTAAACCTGAAAAGTGATATTGCCTTGAAGTAGATAATATATTTCTCTTTCGACTAGTTTGTAACACCCTATTTATCATCTTGGTACTTACTCTGTCCCCCCAGTAGGACGAGATGTGACACAAGGTCTATTTTTAGGTGGGGACCGGAGCGCATACGCCTGGGACAGGAACATAAATTCCCCTCAGCTCCCACAACTGTCAGCGAGCACTGATCCCTCCCTTTGGTGCAATATCATCTCTCAGTTGTATCTCTGTCTTTGGGCAGAGTGCACTCAGGGTTGGCTCTGTCAAAGGACAGAGTTGCAACTAAGGAAAATTATACTGAGAGGTGCCCAGCCCTAGAGAACAGCTGCCTGAGGCTGTGCACTCTCATTACACTAGAGAGAGGCATTGGTGCTTGCATCGAGGCCAGCGCAACCGACAATTGTTGGGGCTCAGGCAATTTTTGTTCTGAGCCTGGGTGTACACCCTTAGGCTCTCCACATTAAACCAACCTTGTATCATAACACAACTTTGTAGGGAGTCGAGTAAACACCAAACTACTATAAAGTAGAGCTGGGTGTTTTTAATCTCAGAATTCATGGGAGAATTGAGCTCCAATTTCACATTTATTCATATAGATCCCATAATATAGGTTTTACTTAATTAGCTATTATGTTTCTCTAACTTTTCAAATGTTGAACGTATCATTAATTCTAATTTCTATTTACCCATCTTTACACTATATTAATTTTATCTTACAAATTGTCCCTTGTTCTGTCACCCTGTCAATATCAATTTTTTAAATTACTGGAATTTTAAATCTCCACTCCCACTGGTCCAGTTTCAATGGTTCATAGCTCATTCATATTCCTAGAAAAGTTCGGCACAGGGAATGATTTTCGTTGAGCTCAGATTCAGGGTTGCTGGATTATGGATTATTGGGCGCCATTTAAGCTAGCTCCTGTTGAGAACTCTTGGTTTGGCTATCATCACAATAGCCAGGGAGTAGATGTGATAAGCATCAACAAACTACAGAACTCAAAATTGATCGCTGCATTTAAGTATTGAATTAAAGTTTAAGCTTACCTTTTAAAAGTTCAACAACAATTCTTCTGCTGCCACTTAATTTAAAGATGATTTGATCTATGTAGATCCTTATTTTCCATACAATTATTTTTATTTCATGGGTAACATTTTTTGCATTACAGTTAGGATATCATATATACCACAAAAGATGTTGTGATGTCATATATACCACAACAGTTGCAAAGAATAATAGCATACGGTGGAAGACATTAATTGGAGTTATGGTGAGCTTTGAAATTTGATGTATATAAAATGTATTTCCTGTTACATGGAATTTCAATTTGTGCTTATATGGGCCTGAAATTATTTTGATACCAAAAATGGTCCACAAGGAAGAAAAGGTTGAGAAACACTGTAGATAACAATAG